TCAATAAGCCTTCAACACTGTTTAATAAAACTTTATCGACGTTACTGTGAGGGGGACCCATCACTCTCGATTTCTTCTTATCTTGTAATAGAAATAACTGAAATCTAATTCGGAGACGCGTGCGCGCGCGCAGACATTAATTTTATAGCAAACCGGGAATAGGGGAACTAATTTAGAGTCGGTTTTTGTGCGCAAGAGATTGGAAGAATATATCGCGTATGTTACAGCCTGTTGTATACGATGTGCAATCTGTCTTACCTGCAGTGTACAAATGACAATTTTATGTATCAAATGTATATCACAGAAGGCATGTCTGAAAATAAAAAAAGCCGACGAGAGATATACATTTCTCTGTAATAGTCCCGTCCCGATTGAAATCCCATAATTCTTCTCGCGAGCAACTTTTTTCGATATACATTCACTCATAAAAACAGGATCGGCAGACTGGTTTATTGTTTTTGCAAAATAAAAAAATCTCGTTTTAGATTAAAAAATACAAAACTCTTTCCAATCTAAAAAACCAATTTAGAAAAGTTGTTGTTTTTTATAGAAACGTAAAAATATTGTATAAAATATATATTTAAGCATTACAATAATTCTTTATTTCCCCTTCTTTTTTCTTATGCAATTTCTCGGAATATTCAGACAAAGAAAATCAGAAAAGCCTTTTCGCAAATGAATGTTGATGCAAAAATTAATTTATATTAATCTTGATAACTTATACAATTGCATTAATAATAATTAGTTATCGTTAAATATATACCATTTTATTAGAGTAAGAGAGATATATTTCTTATTATATAAATTGTATTTTGTTTTTTAAAATTGCAGTGTATGTATATATATATATATATATAGAAAGAGAGAGAGAGAGAGAGAGTTAACAGTTCAAAATAAAAATGTATGCTACATAGATATTTCCTGGAAATTGCTCTCTTTCAAATTGTATCATAACTTTGATAATATTATTTCACACTTTCTTTCTAAGCAAATGGCCATTTTTTAAATAAAGCAGAGAAATATACGATCTGATAAATACAGAGTTTTTCCGACAGACTTGGTGGATTTTCGATGAGTAAATTATCCAAAAAAAACTAACTTTAACTCACCTCGTTCCTCTCTTAATCAATCGCGCATAAACCATCGTTCGGAGGAAATAAACGAAAAATGCAGACGAAAAGAGAATAAACGTACTTTGCGACACTCGTCGAAAGAATAAGCGACGACGCGCCGTTTTGTCCGTCCGTTCGCGCCATCTTGGTGCAACGCCAGCAAGCTGCGACGCGTGGAACACGCGGAACGGGGAACGGGTCTGCCGTCCTTCCCCTCTCCCTTCCCAACGGTTTCAAGTAGTTCCCGAAGTGCGTCCTATCTTCGGCTTCGGGCTTCGGGCCGCAAACAAAACGCCGCGTCCCCTAACCTGCGGAAAAGGGAAGTTCGTTACGGAGCATTCCGTGTTTCCGCCTCAAGCGTAAGCGTTTCCAGTGAACGCGCCGGTTCCTACGATGGAGGACGAAGACGTGGTGGAGATCGGGAACGTGGAGAATGTCTGCCGGCTGTGCCTGTCCGCGGACGAGCCGAGGTTCTCGGTGTTCGCGCAGGACCGAGAGGAAGATCCGTCCGGCGTGCCGTTGACCGCCAAGATCCAGGCTTGCCTGTCGATCCAGGTACGAAACTTCATCCTCCTTCTCGTGCAGATCGATTCGCGGCATTTCCGCGGAGAGAATCGTCGACTTCAGGGCCGAGTATCTTTGATCGATCTGAATAGTTCTGAGAGATCTTTGATTGAGTGCGCGTTGCCCAAAGCACGAGTTTTGAGGTTACATTCATAAGAAAGGGTGATAATCGAGATAATCAAGTGGTCGTGTCATGTGATTGGGACATTTTAGCGCTCTTTATCTCTCTATTCATTTTCTTTCATTTCTTTCCTCCATCATCAACGTGCGATTGTCTCATTTTAGATGAATGAATGAGTGAGTAAATCATTTTAGATGTTCTGGGCATGCAATGTCTTCTCGAGCCTTTTGACTTGAAAGTAATAATCAAATACTAATACATGGCAAAGGGAGAAATAACTATGTAAATAGCACAAATTAATGGAAATAATTTTTTGACAAACACTAATTTAAAACAATGTTGATGGATAATGTTGTAAAAACTTTAAGTTAAGATTGATTATAAACATAAACATATTTCTCTTAAAAAGAGCAGAAAGTATAGCATAGTTTATGTAAAATTTTTAATTTGCTCTTTGCTCTGTTTTTTGAAACTTTTTATGTTTTAAATGAAACAGGTATATACATTTCTAAGAAAAAAGGAGAAGTAAAATGCGAAATTTGTAGAAAAGAGAACAAAAAATGATAAATTTTCCAATCTAGCGAGTTTGATTTGCGTTTGCTCAAAATTCTGGAAATTGTTGAAAATTTAATATACTGAATTCTTTTTTCAGATTTCAGCCACTGATAGGTTGTCCACGCTAATATGCGCAAATTGTGTGAAGAATGTTAACCAGTGGCATACCTACAAGGAGTCATGTCAGCGTTCACAGGATAAGTTGCAAGAATGGCTGGCAACTCAGTCGCAACCAAATCCTACGGTAAGTAAATATATGATATTTTTAAATATATCATGGTAATCCTTTGAATCATTTCTATTTTGATATTTATGTTCCTCGTTCTTGCAGGTTGTAACAATCAAGGATGAACCAATGGATATTGACTACGAGGACAATATACAGATTATCTCAGAGACTACCAATAACTTGGAACATGTAGTAAGTACAATTTTTTTTGTATGAAATAAGATGGGGGGGGGCAAAACTTCTAATCAAGATACTATTAGATAATATTTTTCCACATGATTTAACATTATTTGTTTTTCAGCATCCACCGGCTGAAACATTGGAAAATAAGGAGACTGATAATAAGGAAGTGCACGAAGTAGATGAAACTGATGCAAAAATTGATACGAAAACTGATGCGAAAACTGATGCGAATGACACACATAAAGAGGATAACTCGGAAACAGTTCCATCTGCCACTGAGATGCAGCCTGACAAAGATCAAGATCAAATAGATCAGCAGGATTCTACAGCTTTACGTTCCATTAAAATCGAGCCACAGGATGACGATGATACCGATTGCACTATCGAAGTAGAATCCGCGAACGGCAGTGAACTATTATTGAATCCCATGGCAGTTACCACGAAGGAAGATACGGTTATGGAAGCCGATTCTACGCAAAAATCTAACGCAGCTAGCGCGCCGCCCAAAAAGAAACTGAGACGCGGTCCTCATACCCATTTCAGAGGAACGCGTGTCTTTAAAAAGAAGTGCACGCATTGTCAGATTTTTCTGCATTCCAAATATTCGTATATGAAGCACATGAAGAGATTCCACAGTAAGGAGAACAACGGTATCGACAACTTGGAGTCGATATCGCAGAACGACGACGACGAAGAGATGGTGGAGGATTTGGAAGACGAGTTGGTCAGTATGGAGAAAGATTCACCGCTGACGCAGGTCCAACAGGAGATTATCAGCCAATTGAAAACATTCTCCTGCTATTCCTGCGAACAGACATTTAACGATCGGCGTAGCACGCTCTCCCACATACGCCAACATCTGCCGGATTTAAGACCGTACACGTGCATTGCTTGCTTGACTGAATTCCCCGATCGATCCATGTACCAATTACATTGCGGCGCATCCTTTGAGTGCGCCATGAAGATTGCCCTTGTAGTGCCCAAGCACGGTAACGAGCGGTACTTTACATGTAACATGTGCTTACGTTCGATGCGCGACAGGAAGGAACTACTGAGCCACTTGTCGAAACATTCTGACAAGCAATACGAGGAGATGATGTCGCCGGCACGCGCGCCACCCAAATTGAAACCGATGGCGCCGTTGCCATCTGCAAAAAGCAGCTCCGATAAAGCGCAGAAGGCTGTCGTCAAAGGACCTTATAAGAATGGCGATCCGGCGCACAATCATGCTTGCGATCTATGTGGCATGATTTACAGATACCGACCCAATATGTTTAAGCATCGCGAATTCTGCATGCGGCTGCAGCCAGAGAATAGAACATCGTACAAGTGCGTGCACTGTTCCATGACGTTCCTCGTGTTTAAGAAGTTTCATACTCACATCACGGTTGATCACAAAAAGAAAGAGTTTACTTGCATTGTGTGCAACTCGAAATTCCGATCGCCCAGCGATTACTTGACTCATCACGAGAATCATCGCGCGGCGACACGCGGCAATCGTCAGACGCAGGAGGACATGTCGCAGAATGGAGTTCAGATACCATTGAAGGAACGGAACCGAGGGGACGCCAAACTGGTCAAGTCAAGAATCGGCGGTCAGAAATACAGTTGTGCGCTCTGCACCCAGGAATTCTCCACGAGGTCTGAGCTAACGGAGCACCGAAATCTCCATCTCAAAGTGAAGATATACTCGTGCGTTATTTGTCGCAGCATGTTTAGTAGTCCGGGTGCGTTAGAGATCCACATGAAAGATCACGGCATCGAAGACCCGAATGAACGAAACGCCAATATCTCTTGCGTGGAATACGGTACTTTAGATGAGGACATAAGGATTGACGAGAAAGACTCGATGAACGCGAGTGCCATCTCGGATCCCGGTACGCAGATTCACGAGTGCTGCGAGTGCGGTAAGGTGATGTCAAATTACGCCAATCTTCGCCGACATACCAAGATTGCACATCGGAACGCCAAGATCTATGATTGTGCCGAATGCTCGCGAATGTTTACGCGTAAGGAGCTGTATGATCACCATATGCAGATCAAACACAACTCGAAGACGATGTTGCAGTGCCCTCAATGTCCCAAGAGTTTTGTCTTCCAGTCGAACTTTACTTATCATTTTCGCACCGCTCATCTTGAGAAATCGCAAAACGGTTACGCATGCGACATCTGCGGCAAAGTTTTCGTCGAGGAAGCGTCCTTGAAAATACACAAGGGCTGGCATAATCGCGCCAACTCTCGTCTGAGCACACGATTCATACTGGGTAATCAGAAGACGCCCGATGACGAGCCGCAAATGGAGTCGGCCGGTGTCGAATCGGGCGAGAATTCGGAACGGCCAGCAAGAGCACGAAAGTCATTCCCCAATCCTCCGCTTCAATCACCGACGACTTCATCGGAGGGAAATTTCCAGTGTCAAGTATGCAATGATAAGTTCAACGACGTCACGGAGTTAAGAAATCATTTATGGGACGTCCATTGCGCCCGCAACAAGCCGGAGAAGAGTTTCTCCAACGACGAACTCCAGTGCGAGCTGTGCACAAACGTCTTCCCCGATCGGGAGACCTTGGCGTCACACATGCGGTGGCATAAGGCCAATCCGATTCTCAGCGACATACGAAAGACGTACTCTTGCGATGTGTGTTGCAAGTCTTACAGCTCAAAGAAGGTCTTGTGGAAGCATAAGAAGCTACACAAGGCCACCGTTGTGGCGTCGATCAAATTTCAATCCTTGGCGAGGAAACCGATGGCCAGTCAATTTCTTTGCAACTTTTGCCGGAAAGTGTTCTCCAGTGGCCAGTCGCTACAACGGCATAAGCTTAACTTTCATAGTGAGCTGCAGAACCCGCAACGGACGCAGCAACAATTGTACAATAGCAATCGTAGATTGTCGTATGAGGACGAGCCGAGAGCGAAGCGTATGAAGCTCGAGATCGATGACGACAATCCGCCGCCTAAGCTGCCGCCATTTGCTATGGATTTCGCCGGCGAGAGGAGGAAGCCAGTCATGTGTCATTTGTGCAAGAAGATGTTCCCGAATATGAGCGTACTATACAAACACAAGCAGACCGTGCACAAGCATCGAGGAAGGAAAGACCTGATACCTGAGTGCATACCGATGACGACTCAAGGCGGCAAGTTTTCATGCAACATCTGCTTCAAGGAGTTCCCAGGCCTGTCGAATCTGCGACAGCACTTCACGATTAAGCACAAGAAGGGCTCGGAATCCGGCCATCCGCGACTGAGCGGCGACGCGCTCACCGAACGACCGACGAAGGAAGCCGAGTCACCGTCCCACAACAATGTCATGTTCAGCTGCAAACTGTGCAAGCAGTGCCACGTCTTCAACAGGGAAGCGCTCATGAATCACATCACCACTGTGCACAACGCGGTATACCAGGCTGACAGCAGAACGTTTCACAGGGAGGTCAATTTGGGCGCTTACGTAGTGAAGGGCGCGATCGGCGCTACGTGCCCACGATGCAATGTCAAGTATCCCAACAACCGTGCTCTAAAGATACACTATATTAAATTCCACGAGAACGCTGATTAAACGCTTGTAGCCGCTGGAAAATTGGATTGGTGCCAGGTGGAAATAATTCTTCTCCATATCACGTGATTATGAAAAAATCGACGGATCTTCTTCGTTCCTCGGATCACGATTCTCTCCGTATTGTAAAACGCTCTTACGCGACATGTTCCTGAGACAGAATCGATCAATCGTTTTTACGTAAAAGGAATGTAGGATTTGTTTTACGACACACAACTCGTAATAAACGATCAACCAAATCTTTGATTTATTAATATGTAAACCAATGGTTCGCAAATGCTATTAAACATCCATAATTTCGACGTTTGCGAGATGATATAACAAGTATTAATGAAGTACACAAATATATTCTTTCTATAGATTGTGTCGGTGTATCAACAGAAGTTTTTTTTTTCGTTTTGCACGAGCGACGATTATTTCCATAAACGTGAACGATTCACTCGTAGATGATTTGTTACCTATTTGATACAGCAACTGTTGTAATTCTTGCGACCAATGAGACGTGTAAATATCGAGGCGGTAGAGTAGATATTACATGACTTGGTAAAAAACGTGTGTGCAGCCTCTCGGTGTATTGTAGCTATAAGTTGATTGCTGCAGCCAGGTATATATTTACATAGCAGTCTCTTATAAAGTAGGATCCGTGAAATCCTTGGTTCTCGCGTGGAATTATGTTAGGAATTTGTGACTTTGATACTTTTATTTTATAAAAAAAAAGTGATCTAATCTTAATCTTCCCTTCCTTTTTCCTTAAATCGTTTCTTCCATCAATTGATTTATTTAATACGCTTCGTGAAATCTTTTGTGCAACCTGGTTGCAATAACAACGACGGATAATCGCCTTAGAGATGTACTGCAACAATTGCTTAGATTTTAATTTACCTACATTATAGATTATAACAATTATTATATATAGAATGCAAATAAATATCATGAATATCTTGCTTACGTCACGGTATTTATTAAGTTTTCCCCATTGTGTCATTCTGTTTTTGCTTAATTGCCGATTACGTTCTTTTTCCTCTTTATCTTTAATCTCGTATTAACAATGCGTTATACATTAGTTCATTTGAACACTTGCATTTGCGATCTGTGAAAATAAAAGTAATAAGAAAAGTAAAACGCTAAAATAAAGAAAGAATTACTAATCTTTGTTATCGAATTTTTTAGACTAATCGTAAAATTGACAGACGGAAACGAGATTTCACATATTGTATTCTCGATAATGAGATCGTATAAATTAATTCTATCTCTCTTTTATATATATATAAACTAAAATTTTATATAATAATACATATAAATATTGAAACGGTAGAATAGAAATTATATAACTCGAGAAATGTGTGCATCCTTTGTATTGTAGTTAACACAAGTTGAATTTTATATATACATATATGTATATATCAAACATTTCAAATGGTATAAGCGAGAAAACTGATAATTGCAATAGAGATATTAGTATCTAAAACCGAAGAAAGCTGCAATAAGAGAAAATGTTCGAAGTTTTCAGGAAATAAAATATATATAAAAGCTAAATAAATATTGTATTATAATTTTACTAAATTTTGGTTAAGAGATCGATGGTATATAATATATATATCAAAATTTATATCGATTTCTGATAATTATTTTTACTCGCGTATATACTTATTTTTAGGTATATGTAGAGATATGAATATAGAATATGCGTATGAAATATATATATACATATAAATTACAGAAATTAAATGTTTGTGCTTCTAATGCGTCCTGTCAACTTGAACTCACATTTTGTTGCTGCTATTGTCAGTCGAAATCCTAAAGAACCACCTATATGCGAAATGTTACAGCAACATGATATTATTTTCATCGTATAAGTTTTGTTGTATTTAATTATTTGTGAGTGAATCAATAAAAGATCTATAATGTATTGTTATTTTTAAACAACGTGGGTCTTTTGTCTATCAATTTGTATCGAATGAAAAGAAATAAGACTGTAAATAGTTCTACATAGTTGTACGTATTTTTCAGACAAAAAACGGATAAGGTAGTGAGCCAGGCGCAGAAAACAGGGCGAGAACGATTGTCTTCAAAAAATATATTCAACAATTTAGAACGTTTCAGCCTCTTCAGATCATTTTCAACAATTGTCACAAATCGATAAAAAAAAATATATATGCCATACAAAAGATGGGGCAGAGTTATACGATTACGCACATTAAAGATATATATACATATATATAAAACAGATGCCAATTTAGGCTAGCAATTTCTGAGTAAATCTGTTGCCAATTCGCTGGGATATTGGGCGCATTTTGTTTACTGGATCGCTGCAATATTTGACAATTGGAGAGTACATAATTTTAAGAATCATGGTCTTGTGTATCTTTTTTAAACAGATGAAACAGATGGGAAACTCTTCCATAACACTTGATGCATATCAGAATTACTCGGAAGGTCCTCGAAACGCATATTCTATTCTTTAATTATATATATAAATGATGTCGCGCGCGCACGAATCTTGCTCGGTTTCTGCCGACAATCTAATGTCAAATCATGTTAGTAGATCCTGTTCGGTTTCTGCCGCCAATCTGCTATCAGATTCTGAGAGGCAGGCTTTGCTCGATTTTTGGTACCAAGTTAGGTCGATTTAATCAATAATAACAACTTTTGTACCAAATTTGTAACCTTTTTGCTGACAACAATTGATAGTAGACACTTACAATTAGCATGATCTGCTTTCGATAGACTTGACTATGTGGGATATATATATGTGTAATATGTTTTAGATAGTACAAATTCTCACTACGTTTTTAAAATACATCACTCAGCTTCTTTCACGAATCACTCAGTTATGAAGTGCTTATCTTTTAATGATAGAATTATTTAATGAGATATCACAGTATGATTATTACAGCAGAGAAATAGGTGATGCAGGAATTGGCAACGTCATAAAACAGCTGATCTGATCTGGAAAAATCATATTGCATCTGATTGCGTCCGATATCCGATATGCGTATATTATATAATAAGATGCCAGTATGCATTATTGTATAATAATAAAAATGATTATGTGTGTGTGTGTGTGTGTGTGTGTGTACAAAATGTAATGTAACAGCGAAAACGATTGCATCCGATACCCGACATATGTATATACGGAATAAAATGCCAGTGTGTATTATTATATAATAATAAAAATAACTGCGTGTGTGTCTGTGTGTAAAATATAGTTAACGAAAGCAATCAATCCATTTTTACCTACGAATGCGTATAAAGCCATTATTTTTAGAGTATTTGAGAATAATTCCTATTTAGTGTTCAATGCATATTACGTAACGAGAATGTCTTTATTTTACAGAATTGCGATATTCAATAGGTTAATGTACTTTCTAAGACTTTTTAACATACCATTTTTGTTCTCAAATAATTTTATTTTATTGTTTGATGGAATACCAACAATAAAACGCAAAATGGAAAAGAGTTATGTATAAGTTATATATATAGGCTGTATATATAGATATAAAAGAATCATTAATAGTCTGTGAAATATATTTTGTAATTTTTAAAAATCTAGTAAACTGTATTATTAATAATACAAAACGCATATGTCTTCTGCGAATGAACATACCCATCCATTCCCAAACATCTTGTCGTGTCACACACACTTCTTTGCTAATTATATATTTTCTTGATGGACTTTTGCCAATTTTTCGTCCTTGGAATTTCTGAAACTGCATTTCTTGGAACCATAAATATTCTTTCATCATAAATATCAGGTGGCACAAGCTGAAATTTCAAGAAACGCGAAAAATTGAACTTTTGAAATCTGCAAAAGTATCAGGAGTAATCAGTAAAAGAGTGGAATAAACGAAAATCATGAAGACTTAAACTTTTGAAATCCAGAAAAGTATCAGGAGAATATAATTAATAAAGAAGTGGCATAATCTAAAATTCAAAAAATCGCGAAAAGATTAATTTCGACAAATAATCAGCAAAGAGCTAGCACAAATTGAAATTTAGAAACTGCAATTCTAAAAATTTCTAGAATTTTTATTCTAGTATTTTAAATTACACAAATTTAAATTCTGAGATATCGGGAGTATGATAGGCAAAAGAGAGGTAATACAAATAAAAACTTCAAAAATTGAAATTTTAAGAACTCCAACTTCATTTGCTTTTCTTCTTTACAGTATAGTGAAAATTACTATCTAAAAATTAATTGTTCTTATAACTCATCTCTCAATTTTCACAAATGATCGCTGTACAATTTATATACATTTTAGGAGAAAAAAATTCATATATATATATAAATATATATGGAATATGTCCATATATATATGTCCCAGTAAGCAAAATGCGCGCAATATGCCAGCAGCTTGGCAATAGATTTACTCAGAAGTTGCATGCTAGTAAACTGGTATTTGTTATGTATACATTAGGCTTATGGTTTGCTAGCAGAGACTGCTCACAGAATCTGACAGCAGATTGGCGGCAGAAACCGAATAGGATTTGTTAACATGACTTGATGTCATATTATCGATAGAAATCGAGCAGAATCTACAGTTTTTGACCATTCATATAAAATGTTGCATTTAAATGGATTTAAAAGGTCTCGATCCCAAATAGCAAAATGACATTATAATGACAGTAAATTTTGATCATAAAATGATCAATTAGACGTTCTTAGTTAGGTCTTATGAGATCCGAAAATGACGTCGATATGACACATCCACAAAATGTCATTTTCTGACATTTGTTGGACAGCAAAAATAAAACCAATTACCGACAGAAATTGTCCGAATAAGTGAAAATCGGACATGTATCTGTCCGATTTTCCAAAAAATCACTTCAATATCTGAATTCCTCTATATGAGAATCGTATCAGAAATTAAACTCATAAGAATAGATGTTATAATATTAGCCTCATTTTGCAAGTTTTATATACGCTCATCAAAAACTTAAATACGGGAGCATAGATAGTGAATAGCGCGCGGTATAGCGAAAGAACTATACTATTTCAAATAAGATTTAATTTTGTAATATTTCGTAAAAAGCTGCAGATTCTGTTCGGTTTCTGCCGACAATCGGATGTCAAGTCATGTTAGCAGATCCTGCTCGGTTCCTGCCGTTAATCTGCTGTCAAATTCTGTGAGCAGGATTTTTGGCAACTATTTGTTGATTTAATCGATAATAATAACTTCTATACCAAATGTGTAGCCTTTTTGCTGATAATAGTTGATAGCAGACACTTGGCATGATCTGCTTTCGACAAACTTGGCTATCTGGAACATATTCGTATGCAATGCCAGAGAAGGTTGAAAACAGAGGACGATAAAAAGGAGGGCATTCAGCAGAAAAAGTTGCAAACAGATGTAGAGAGCCAAGAAAATTGAAAATGCAACCGTCATAATTACGCGAATGTTTACGAGTACAATGGCAACGATATTGTGTATATAAATAGACATTCATGACCAACAGTTAATTTGGACCGCGGATTCTTATTTTTAGGACCAATGTAGGAAGCGTCATAGTTCTCGCAAACGATCTTATATACCGCATTTTTACGGAGATGTTTCGACAGAATATCTTTATGTAATAATAAGAATCAAAGAACACAGTTTATTCAGTATAAGACATTTTTGTGTTAAGATCACGAGCTTGTTTTTTATGCTTGACGCTTCAATTGTCCGTTACTCTCTCTATTCGTTTTTATATTATTTTATTAGAGCCTTATTTTTGTGTGTATTTTTCAAACTTATTTCGAGTCTTTCATTATTTATAAGCGACACGTCGAAGACACAGTGATGTTGCATAACGGTATGTTCGGCGGCGATAAATTCAAAGGCTCGCGGATGTCACGGGGATATAAATGGGGTAGGATAGAGGTAGATACAAGAACAAAGACACGCGAATATTTGATACTTTCTTTTTTTTATGAATGCACAAAACATTTTAATATAAACTTAAAAATCCGTACAACAATATGAAAAATTATAGACTATTATACACATATATGTATATAGATATATATTTATATTTATATATGCGTCGTACTTTTTATTTTTTCCATTTTCCAGGTTTATCAATATTTTATATAATTATATTATTTTATTATGTATATGTATAAGTATATATATGTATATTAATGCGTGTAGAAATATAAAGTAAACCGTTGAACGGTCCCGCATCGCGTCTCACACACAATTGGAGTGTCAACTCGCTAGAAATTCAGAGATAATAATTTATCGATAATCGTGCTTATACGGTAAACGCCGACATGTAATCATAACAACGACAGTAATGTCGCGCGATATCACGCGCGCATAGTTTATCTCGCAACAATGCGTTTTGTGTTAGGAAGATGTCTATTTATTTTTTTTTTCTTTTTCATTTACAATAGAGGATGGCGAAAAGGGATATACGAACGTCGCGCTCATGCTCGTCGAATCGCGGATGTCTCGCCAAATGTTTCGTATTTTGTGTTGCAACGTGTGTGTATGTGTGCGCATTATATTGTGTTAAGAGTATACGCGTGCCGACGAGAGTGTGCGCGATGTCAGATGTCGAGCGCTGTTATGCGTCCAATATATAGATCTGGTATCATATATAGAGATGTAGATTTTGTATAAACATTTCTCCCCCTCCCCTTTTCCTCTCGCCGGGGAGTATTATACCGCTTAATACGTATAATGACATGAGTAAACATTAGGTATATAACACATTGATGGAGACACAGATTAGGCCAAATCGATCTTTCTCTCTCTCTCTCTCTTTCTCTCTCTTTCTCTCTCTCTCTCATCTTTCTCTCTTTCTATCGTCATATGTTATATAGCCATTGCGACTTGATATGCGAGTCTCTCTATTCCAATCGTATCATTGTTCTATCTCGTAATTGGTAGGTGTATCCTTCCGAGATAAATTGAACGAGTAACGATACAAATGTATTAAAAATTACATATTACGTGTAATTCAATATACAAAAAAAAAAGATTAAGGGATACATTTTGGAATATGAAACATCATAAATTCATTGATTTATAATCTGATGCCGTACAAAACTTCTTTGATATCTTTTTTCTATTTTAATATGTTATTATATATCATATTTTTCGCTTCTTTTTCAATTAAATTTTGTTCAAAGAGTTTACTTATATGCAAGAGTAACAGAAATATCTGAAATGACTTGATCTGATTTAGCTCGTATCACACGCGTGGATGAAGGTAAAAAGGAAAGATAAAGAAGTCGAAGGAATACACCTCGTTCTCGATATCGCGGTGCTGAAAATTTCACTTTCTCCCTTTCAACTCTCCTGAGAATACGTTAGCATATAAAGAGCTTTACGAATAGTAAAGAGAAGAGGTATATCGTTGTGCTCGTTATCAGGCTCGGATGGAAATATGGAAAAGTGTGAGTTGTATTTCTCAAATGGATTATATTTGGCTAGAGATGTACGATGTAAGCAAGCAAAACGTTCCCGAGTGGATTTTTCTGTCGAGACGAAAAAGAGAAGGATATAACGAAGACAATAGTACGAGAGAAGTTGGGAAAAAATACGAAACGTTCTCCACGCTATGGAAATATGCTCGTATCGTAAAAAATAGTACGATTCCGATATCTTCAACGATATGACTTGCCAGATATTTTTAGCTATTGCAGCAAAACACAATTCGAAAGATCCTAGAGCGCAATAGCTCTTTATTTATTTTTTTTTTTTTTTTGAGAATTGCAAGCATTATTATTTATATCATAGAAAAAAATAAGTTTCTGTATAAAAAAAATATTTGTTACTTAAATCAAATTACAAAATCGAAAATAAATTGTGTATCGTGACAAACAAAATAATCTATTTTCAAAAAATTCATAAAAATCTAAATTTAATTATAATTTATTTATTTAAACAACACACGCGTACAAATCTTCGCGCGTTTTCTCAACACTCAAAATATCTTCAGAAAACATTTTTATATTTTGCCACCAAAATTATCCGAATCTTTTCCAAAAAAAAAAAAAAAAAAAACATTTCGATATAATTTTTTATTTGAAACATTTTAGCGCCATTGACGGCGAGTTAATCTAAAGGACGACCTTTATAGCGATGACATATCGCGAAGCGAGGAAAATAATTCAAGAGTGAAAAGAGAGTCTCGTTAATTCTCATCTGCATCCGCTTCTTTGAAATAAATCGTGTCTCTATCGCGGTTGTCGCAAACGACGTCACCGCCATTCGTTCTAGCGTTCTTAGAATGTTGCCGCGGGAAAGGGACCTCTATCGCGGATTAATTATTCAACATACGGGAGTTGGGTCAGAGGCGGGTCTATCGATCGACTTTTTAACTAGCTCGCCACTCGTATGATCGTCGGAAAGCCGGCTTTCTAATCGCGCGACCGCGTTCCCTTTACACTTTGATAGTTTCCGACCCACTTCCGGTCGCCCTCCGGTGATATACGCCTATAGCTATGCTTGTCTGTCTTGTCTCTGCGAAAACCAGCTAGGTACAATCGATGGCACTCCGTGCATGAGAAATACTTTGAC